AGTGTTACTCGTGTTGTTTCTAATTGTTTTCGCTCTTCAATTGTGACTTTTCTTGCATGCAAAGTAACGTATAAAATTGTGTTCTTGTGTAAGTTATAAATAAAATAAGTTGGCGACCAAAATTTTTCTGTTAGTCGCCAGCTGGCTCCTGAACGAAAAAGTTAATTTTGAGCCCTGAGATAGCTGCCTAATTTTTCTTGGTCTTACGGTTGTTACATTGCAGCTAGTGCCATTTTTATAAGCTTCAAACTATTATTCTTCTTTCGTCTTTTTCTTTTTTTCGTATTTTATAAGCTAGTAAATGTTGTTGTTGTCATAAGGTCAATGTTAATAACCGATATTTCTTGTCAATTTCTTGGCACATTTAGGAGAAACTGCAAATAAAGACAGGGAGATAAAGAAGTGTTTAACAGATGCTTACAAAAAGACTGATGAGGAATTTCTATTGGAAGCATCAAAGGCGTAAGTTTGTCAGACATCAGGGAGTTGAATGTTACTTGTACTTGTATATTAAGTTACACATGTCTTTTGTTTTGTCACATTTTCCTAGTTTAGGATTTATTTTGAAGGGTAATTTACAAGTCCATGTTTACTAACAAATGGTGTGATGTTGTCTTTTCTCAGATCACCAGTGTGGAAGGATGGATCAACTGCTGTCACAGCACTCGCTGTGGATGATGTTTTGTATGTTGCCAACCTTGGTGATAGTAGGGTAATAATAACAATCAATTTATTATTATCATTTTTTATTAGTGAAATCTGAAAACGGCTATCGTTTTAGTGACTAATTCAAGAAACAGTGATTCACTCTTTAGAGACAGTTGAACAGATCTTGAGGTCTTGAGAGAAGCAATGATACAATAATACCTCACCCTATTCTTTCAACCAGGAAATTAGCCCAGTGTTAAAAAGTTCGACAGGTTAAGACGGTAATTGTCCAGCATTGATACAGTACATGTACATCAAGAGTGTAAAGACTTTTTACACGTACCTTGAGCAGAGTTGCCAAGTGGTTAGAGCACTGGGCTTGAAATCGGGATGGAGGTCTTGGTTCAAGTCCCACTCAGACCACTAATTAAGCTGGAGCTGTTTCTTGGTAGACAATTCCTCTATCATGCTTGTAGATAGCCAACTCATCTGCCTCCCACCAGTTTGGATTTTTAAGCCTGTTATGTAACTGTTTCTATTAATATGTGACTGTTTCTGAATTTTAATAGGCTCTGCTCTGTCGGTGTGGTGACAATGGTAAGACATCTGTAGTTTCTCTCTCCAAAGATCATTCCCCATCTCAGGTAAGACCAGTGAAGCATGTACTTGTTACTATACTCTTTTTCTGAATGATGGCTCTGTGATTTGTGCGGTACATGATGCTGGGTTTTATGTGCCTGCTCAGTACTTTCCACTAATTTTGTGATTTATTTCTTTATTTTATTGTAGTATGAGGAGAGGATGAGAATACAAAAGGCAGGGGGGACTGTCAGGTACAGTGCCTTGTTTTGTAAATATCTTTATGCATAGGCTTGCCTTTTTACCAGGCCTTGTATTTTGCTGCAGTCATTCCCTCTGAAATGAATTGACCATGGAGGCCAGAGAGAAAGCCATACAAGAACTAGACAAAGCAGGGGTTTCATTGACGTTTTCAGCAGAAGGGCAACTTGTTTTCACAGGTGGTCAAAACTTTTTAAACTGAGCTTCTTTATAAGAAAACCTTTCATCTAGAGTGTCAGACCAGGCAGGCAAAATCATTCTCACAACCGCTCAATTTGCCCAGTGTCAGGCCGTCAAACCCCCCCAGACCTGGCAAGGTGCAGGCTATTCTTTAATCCACTTAAAGTAGTCAGTTAAGTTGAAATAATGATCAGTTCATGATCCTTGTCAGTAGTGAAAAGTTACCAGCCGGGTATGTACCAGAGTTTGTTGTGATGTTAACAGGGAGGGCCGTGTTCTTGGTGTGTTGGAAGTGTCACGGTCTATCGGAGACGGCAGATTCAAGAGATGTGGCGTGAGTTGTGTCCCGGATGTTATGAGATGCACCCTTACAGATAACGACAGGTACTGCATGAGCCAATCTTGCCTGTTTAAACACATGTTTTCCTACTATTTCTTTCCGGTTGTCCCAGCTTTAAAGACGTCAGAGACTGGAACCCAAAAATTCCATTCTGATGATGTAAGCTTCAGAGATCCTCAGTCCCAGGCTCTCTCTCCTTTGACCCCCTTGTCGTTGAGTAGTCAACAAAACAATAAAGATCTCCCAAAGGAATTTAGGATGTTGCTAAAAATGTACCGCTGAAGTCAACTCTCTTTTTAGTTATTTGTAATAGCGTGGTTAAAAACGATGGAATGTTTAATCTTTCTGTAATTTGATTCTTTTTTTAGATTTCTACTTTTAGCATGCGATGGTCTTTGGAAGGGATTCACTGTGGATTCAGCTCTGAAGTTTATCAACAATATACTGGAGGTATTTTGAATTTCAGCTGTTGGTGAACAAGCATCTGTGGCTAGCTATCCATTAAATGCATTATTTTGGAACTTTGTACTTCTGCAGCCCAGTTCTACAACTTACATCAGTACAGTTGAACCCCGCTATTTCGAACTCTCAGGGGAAACGAGAAATAGTTTGAAAAAACGAGAATTCGAAATAGAGGAGGGCAAATTCAAGGGAAGTGGTTTTGAGTTGGAAATAACGGGAAATTCGAAATAATCGAGTTCGAATTAGCGGGGTCCAACTGTATATATTCTGCACTTCATTTTTGTTGCTTCTTTCATGTTTGATAGAACGAAGAAAGTGAAGAAACCGTCCTAGAGACAGATCGCGGTAAATGACTATTTTATACAGTAATCTAAATTATTCAGTTACCTCACGGTTTGCGCATATTGAAAAGTTGAGCCTAAATTTTTCAAGTTCGTAGTTTTCAATCCGTGTTAATCTTCTTCATCCCTAACCATCCTTTTTTCTTTATGGTTTATTATTATCTCTCTGGTGTTTTTCTATCTTAGTAAACTACTATCTTCAGGTTTCCTTCAATTGAAAGGTAATTTTGTACATGGCCAAAATATCGTGCCGGAGACACTTAAAACAACACGAGACGGTTTAATTTGAGATGTAGTTTTGGTCCCCTTGACTCTAAGCTAAAGCCTGTGAGGCAGAAACTAATTGCCCAGTCCTTTGTAGAATTACGTATATCAAACTCTGTTTATTCTGCTTTACCATTTTACAGGCACGGAAGATGTCCAAATCGATCCAGTCTCCGCGCGGTTCCAAGACGCATGTAACAAAATCGCCAGTGAAGCCATTAGAAATGGAAGTTCTGATAACGTAACAGTCATGTTGGTATCCATTACAAAGCAGTGAACTCATCCAGCCCCACATCGCTTAACCCGAGTGGTGATGGAAGCCGGTCAATTTGCTTTCGCCTCCTTCCCTCCTGGACACGTGCGCTCAACGAAAAAAGAAAAACGAGACGAGACGAGCTTGACTTACAGCCTACGGGAAGAGATGGAATCGAACTTTTGCAAGTCTGCGCTATTTATGCTATTTCTAAACTTTCGCGTTTCGTATTGAGAAGGGAGTTTAAGTAACCACAACGGCAACGTCGAGGACAACGTCGATTAAAAAATCTCGCGGTATTTACTTTATCACTGTCAAAACTATCACGAAACTGAATCTGGGACGCAGCTATAAATGTGAGAAAAATTTAAATAACTAGCTATCGTGGTTCACGTTCTCCAGACAACGCAGAATTCGGTCATTTCACGTTGTTTTGCAGAGGTCGTCCGGTCGTCCGGTCGTCCGGGACAAGTAGATTTTCCTTCTGGGCAAGTAACCATTTCATTCTCACTTTCCCGGTTGGCAAGGGATCATGGAAGTCGTTTACCAACTGAATCATAAAAAGACCAAACTAAGGCTTGCCCAGGTTAAGCATTATCTGAGAGATACTTGTCTAAAGGGTAAGCTGGCATTCGAGTTGTTTTCCAAGCCCTGAGGACGGCAAAGAAATGTACCCGGAATTAAAACGCACGTGCACTGCACAGCCAAATGTTGTCCTGCTCATTAAATCTTGTTTAGCGACGTTCCCGTTGCCGTCGTGGTTTTCTTTAACTCCCTAATTGTGAGGCTAGGGGCAAGGAAGTTTATTTTTGCTCGTGACGCTAATTAAGTACGCCAACCTAAAATGACGCCACGCTGTATGTGGACAAGTGAAACACAAGACAAGTGAAACACTTGACGACCACCAACTTGACGTTGGTACAAGGGTAAAGAAAACCGCTGGAGCGAATATGAAGCCGGTCAAAACTGAGGGGCTAATTCGGTGGTTTACCTTTATCAAGTTCAAGCGAGTGAAAACTTTATTGGAGCAACAAAGGGAAAGAGAATCTTATCGAGAAATGTATAATTTCTTAGGCAACATGAACGTTCAACTTATCCTATTTACATTCTTTAGGGTTAGGGTTGGAGTTAGGGTTAATTGACTGGTACCATTAATTTACGATATTTGCACTTTACTTTATATCTGTACGTTAACTTGCGTGTAATAAAGTATACGCGTATTTTAATGAACTCTGTTGAAGGATTAGTTGAAACCGTTTATTCGGGACGAACTTAGACTTACTTAAACGCCTTTGCATCATTTGGCGTTGTCGGAAAATCCTCGTGCTTCGGAAAATCGTCGTTCATCGTTTGTCCAATTAAGTTGTTTCGACAGTTTGACGTCATAAGATTACGTCGTGCTGCTGAGCAACCCGTCACAGAAACGGCGGGCGCACTGAATTGTGATTGGTGGTCTTTCTTTGTACCAAGTGAGTTCGTTCGGGAACACAAACTGACAAAGCCGATAATGACTATTTTCCTTGAAACCCGGCCTAATTCAAGCTTATTTTGGCAGACTCGCGCCGTTGTTGAAACTAAGAGAGGTTTTGCAACTAGTAACGAGCATTCACAGCCTTGGCTCTCCAATTGCCAGTTCCATGCTTGTCTTTCTTTTTCTGCCAACGAATCGTTTCCCCCAACTCATTTCATTGCCAACACTCTCAAGCGATTGATGGTTGCGGCGATCTCCTGGAGTCTGGGACGAGAATAGGAGCCTAGAAGAATTCTGGGACTAAGAACGTCCAGTCCTTCAGAGTCGAAGTCTTGTTCAACCCTTGAAAGAGGAGACAACAAAGAACGTCAACTTTGGAACCATAATGAAATCCTGTAATGGGTAAGAAGAACTGATCGATGGTTTCCGTACTCTGCTGTTACTGATTTGACGAGTCACGCAAGGTTTCTTTTCGCGTGACGACAAAGTAATGAAAAGTCTCTCCAGCATTCATATTAAGGTGTTTAGAATAATAGTAGGTGTAACCTGTTCCAGGCTCTCGGTCAAATGGATCGAGCCGGTGACGAGCGAGGTCTGGGACAGAAAAAGAGAGTTTTCTCTCCCAGACCCCCACTCGTCTCGCGACGCTGGTACAGAGGCTGGTAGTGGAGTTGAACTCACTTTTGAAGCACTTCTAAGAGCGACCGGTTTCCATCCATATATTTATCCCGAGCGTATAAGATGGCGTCTGCTATAACCCTATAAAAGAAACGTGAGAAGAGTGATCAAAATAACAAACCAGCGTCAATATATAGCAGCAACCAAACCACTTACCAGTGAAACGAAAAAGAGTTTCTAACATAAACTGAAGCGATATCACTAACACAATGAGAAGTGGCTAGCGCCCATCGAACTAACTTGTGGGTAAACTCGACAGAGAGCAGATAACAAAGTTCCTACCTTGTTTGACTATACTCTCCAAGCTGCTCAATATATGACAGATCGATTTCTTCATGACCAAACTGAACTTGGAAACCGAACTGTGTCTTACCCTTTACTCTGACCTGGCAATGAGATTTCATAAATATGATAAACCAGAACAATTTTAACACGGTAGCTGGAATACAAACACAGTGAATGTTCTCATGTAGTTACAATCCTCCACAGAAAAAAAGATGGCGACTGGTACTTTTACTCATAATTCTTAGCGCGCGAAAACTTTACAAACGCTCATAAAAACGTACAGGAAAGTTCTAAAATCTTCAAACCTTGCGTACACAATGTCGTTAACACAGAGACAAATATCGCAAAATATGGCTTTCCTTGTACTTTAAGGGCTGCGTAAGGCTTGCATGGTATTGTGGCAAAATGTACAGCCGCCATTTTTTTTTCCTTAGATGACTTCAGATGCGGTTTAAATCCGCCTGCTAGAGTATCCATCACAAAATCAACACGAAAATAATCGTTTAGAATGCTAATAAATCATATTGCTATGAAAAAAGTATGTAGAGAAATGTTGGAGCCAGACATTTCTGTCATGTATCCGCGGCCACTAGAAGTTTTGGTCATCAGCGTAAAACAGGCC